GATAAAGGTGGAAGCCGGTTCTTGCGTTGGGTTGCTATTGCCCTCAATTTATTTGCTCCTACATGGATTGTAACTTTTTGTTGAGGCCAACGTTTGGTGTTGCCTGTGTTGGTGCTGCCCTAATCAACCATTATCCTTCTAATATGAATTTACTATTTTACCCTTAATTACATAAAATAATTCTTTAATATAATAATAAATATTTTTTGATATAGGTCTCATCAATTTAGTATGCATTTGGTACCCCTCAGTACTTTTCGCTTGGTACCTTATGGCACCTCTGTTTTTGTAACCACTCAATCGCTCGTCAACCACGATTCTCGTTTCTCCAACTATAGTAAATTTCTCTTAAATTACACACTCGGGAAATCAATGATCATATACCTTCGGATCTTCCTATGCCCTGTTCGTTTGCAGACATTTAGGAGATTTTTTTTTGGCCGTATAGATCGAAGCATGCACTAAATAAGCGTATATGACTAAAGCAACAACAGGCAAACACCAATCCATTTTAAGGAAAACAAAGCGTTAACTTGCACTTTTACATGTCAATGGCTGACACTAACTTTGCCAGTGCATTTGGTCCCCCATGTGAGATTTGGTGTATTAATGACAAAGAAATTTATGGATTAACCGAGTTATTGAGAATTATATGTAGGTGTTAATCCTTTTGGATTGTGAATTATGAAATACTAGAAGCATATCTCGCGCGTTGCTGTGGAAATTATGGATATGGTTTAGAATGAAATTAGACTATTTTATTACTTATACAAAGGAATAACCTATTACAAATCAATTTTAGTGGATTGTGTGGCACGTTGACATAGACAACAAAATACTTATGTGTCTTGCTGTTGTGAATATCACATGTGCTAGTGGATTTTAATTGCATTTGATAGTGCATTGCTGAGGTAGACAACTTGCATGTTGAGATATATTACCAGCGGAGTTTTGAATTATAAGAGATATAGATGACACCTTAATTCTTAAAGAAAAACAGAGTTCTACTTGATGGAGATTTAAATTTGTTTTATATTTTGAAATTGAGTTTAGAAAAGGTCACACTATAAGAGGGATGCAAATTACATTGACTTGAGGATAGAGTGCTCAAATAATGATTTAAATTTAATTGAGAGACACATAAATACAGTAAGAGCACTTTGGGCAGGTTTATATGGTTCTGCATGGTCGGAAGTTCAGACGGGTATCCGGAGTGCGGCATGTTTAGCAAGGGGAGGGGTCAGCGCTGCGTCTTCCTGGTCCAGGCGAGAGCATGGTGTGCGAGGTGTCCGCATGAGCGAGCTTGATGTCATGGTGTGGACACGGCGGTGACATGAGGTGCTAACTTCCTGACTTTCTATGGACGGTCGGGCGAGCTCGCGGCCATGGCTGATTCAAAGCCCCCTTCTCTCACCTGTATCTCCCAAATTAGTGGACAGAACTCCATCGTGAATCATTAGTGGACATCTTTATTTTAAGCAACCTAGGTAATTAGATACACAGATCAACAGATCAGAGGGCTCAAAGTTTAATAAACTTGCTGTTTTCGGAAGGTTCAGAACTGTCATTCGGATTTCGGAGTGCAGCTTCAGACATGGTTTCAGCTTGGTTCAGGGATATTGGAAATTGAATTATAAGGCTCAAACATGTTCAGATCTCAACGAAAGTCTTATGTAAACTTGGTGGTATATACTACTAATCATGTGTATACATTGGATTGAGTTGTTACACAAATTTGAAAGAAATTAGGTTGACAACGCGGCACAACTATGCTGTTTTTCAGAACTTCAGAGTTACAGACGACAGTGCAGTTTCAGTTTGTGTTTGCGATTTTAGAAATTGGATTTGTAGTTTCAAAATTGATCAAAGTTCATTGAGATCATTTTGCACGTAAACTTGTTGATACAGACTACTAACTTTGCTTAAACACTTGGGTGGGTTATCTCACAAATTTGTGAGAAAATTAGCCAAGAAACAGTGTTGCCATGTTGGTTTCAGGGACTTCCCTTTGGCCCAGTGCAGCACACGACTCTTTGTTAGCTTTGGGAGGTTATAAAATATTCAAACAAGTTTATAGGCAATAATTATAAGAATTGAAATATGTACTAGAGTAATTTGGTTACTGCACTTTGTCAAGTGTGGTTACTTATAACACAGTTAATGCTTAATGCTTCATACATATGAAATTTCTGCTGTTTAAATCTCTCCCCCTTAAGGCTCTGGTCGGTTACCTGGGATTGATTCCCAGCCAAACCTTTCCTTCACAAATTTATACTATGGAGGAATAGTTTCAGGCCCGGAATGGCCCCTTCTGGAACAACCGAACGTGGCCTAAAGGTATTGATTATATGTCTTTAACTCTTTATTAAATTTAGTTAAACATATTCCCAGAGTTGATTTAGTAACTTCCATAGGGTTTTAATATGTGGTGCAAACCACATACTAGGTAGAAACATATAAACCAATTCAAAAGGAATATTTCAGTTGTTCAAAAAAAATCTCAAATTTGGCATCTAGTACATACAAATATGTAAGTTGAGAAGCAAACTCATTTTTCAAAAATTCATACAAAAATGACAAATTAGGTGCATGTGCACTAGAAGACAAAATCTTTGTCTTCTAGTGCACATGCATCTAAAATTCGTCATTTTTGTCTGAGTTTTTCTAGTTTGAATTTGTATCCCAACTTTTACACATGAATACATATTTATATGCACTATAGATATACCGAATTTCAAAAACCTTTGAACGACCAAAGTATGTGTTTTTTGAATTGGTTTTCATGTTTCCGACGTGGTTTCCACCACATATTTTCCCAACTTAGGAACTTCATCAACAAGGTCTTCGTAAACACACGTGAGACATAAAGTACCATCTTCATGCACAAAATGCTTTCAAAATTTTCAGAAATATGCACATGTATCAACGAATGATGCCATGCTTATGAAATGCACAAGTTTAACACCTATCCTGTTAATAGTACAACAACCAGAGGACGAGCAGACGTGAAGAATAGGGAGGCTGAAGATGCACTTAGATGTTCTATGTGGCTCAAGCTTACTTTTAAGTTCTAACATTCTCCCCCTAATCCTTATGTTTGGGACTGATGTTGACCTTTTCCGATTCTTGCCCTGAGTTCATGGAAACAAATTTGCACTACGTCTTTGTTACGAACTTTCAATGTCTGCGAGTTAGCCTTTTGTGCCGACAGACTCAGTAGAAATGCTCATGTTGTCCATGCTTGGCTTCACGGTGTCGTACCATCATCTTTGTTCAGTGAATAAAGGATGTATTTATCACGAAAATTTCACTCACTTAATTAAATGCTCCATTAGAAGAGAATTTGCTGTATTATTGTGATTTTTAATAGGAGTATCGATGATCATCTTATATTGTCTTTTAAACAGTACTATTTCCCTGGTATTTCTTGGTCTATGCGTAATGATTCTTTTGGGGTAAGGGCGCACGATTAGGGATGGATAAAAATTACGGCTGTAGTACTTGATGGCTGGAGATTGAAGAAGCAACGTGGAGCATCGGATGAAGATCGTATGGTCCTGGTCCATGGGCCGAAGTCAACCTGACGCCTAGCGTTTGTCATCACCAATGATGAAAAGAAATCTGCCGTCTCGTTCTCTTTTCGACTTTTCCAAACTCAAAGCGACATGAAGGGCGCCGTTTATGCAGATAAGTGTCCGACGTGACTTTTCCCATCATCTCGTGGACTGCTCACGAGTCGTGTTTAACTTACTGTACGAGGATCAGGTGCGGCCTACTATGCGATGGGGCGGATGAAGCTTCTATTCCCGTGAAATGAGATCAAAATCCTGAACACGTGAACAAGTCGTTCAATGTTACGTCAAAAAGTCTAGTTCTAATTACAATGCTAAGTCAAATCCTCTTTAATTTAACCGTTTTTTAAAAAAAATACTAATGTTTATGATATATCAATTAATATTAGAGATTTCTCTTAATATTATTACATTTTATATTGTCGAATATTTACAGTATATCCATTTGGAATATATTGAGACTATTTCCTGCATAAACTTAGTTAAGCATAAAATTAGTTTTGACATTGACCCGATGGAATTTCCACGGTGCGGCATGGGACTTGCAAAAATTCTCCCGAATTTTAGCTTCTTTTCAAGTGATGGTTATTACGTATATTTTATGTTAGATTTGCGGCTTTAGTTCGTTGCAATTTCTACGTGCATAATTTTGCAATTTTCGTATCCGAGAATAGAAACTCCATTAGACAAACCACAAATCGAACAAAATCTGACTTATGTCGGCACAAGTACAATTAACAATCTAATTGTTTTTATAGTGAGAGAATGACGAAAAATTGATATGTTATGGACAAATCATGTAGCTGCAAGCCCCAGCTACTAGCCTACTACCCTCCGAGGCTGACAGCCGGCTGCATGATCGCTGAAAACCAACAATCCAAGACCTCCAGGCACCGCGGGCAGCACCAGTACTCCGCAGGGGCGCCCGCATACGTCGTTTGAACTTTGAACAGACTAAAAAATTCAGGCGGGAATTGTCAAAAGCTAACTACGTCGTCTGAACAGACTACAAAATTCAGACGACCGGTAGATAGGATATAGGAATTGTCTAACCGGAAATGTCTCAGTAGCCGCCAGTATTCTCCTGTGTGTGTCCGTCCCCAGCCCGCACCGCGCCGGGATCGACCCTGTCCTGTCCAACGGGCGTACTGACTGCGCAGAAACCGCGACGACATGTCGTGACCTCACTGCTTGCGTTGCCTGCCGCGCGCGCGCGGCGGAGCAGCAGAAAACTAAACGACCCGCAATACATATATAAGGCTCTTCTGTTGAGCTTCTGATTCGCATCAGTAAACCATCATCTGCTTTGTCAAGCTTAGTGGCCAGAGGTTGCAAAAAGAGCAATCAGTCACGAGTTACTAGTAAGCAGAGGCTGCAGGTTGTACGTGATCCATTGCATTGCATTGCGAGTTGGAGAAGCGTGCGGTGATGGCGGACCGGCGGAGCAATGGCGGCTCGCCCCCTCGCTGGAGCTTCGCGTCTCAAAGCAGCCATTTTGCGGCGATGATGAGAGGAGGAAGCTACGCGCCCCCGAGCCTCTGGCGCCCGTCGGCGGTCGGTGGTGCCGCCCTGTCAGTGTCCACACCGCCGCTGGCAGCGGTTGTGGCCTCAGCGCCCGCCGAGAAGAACAAGAAGAACTTCGCCGCGGACTTCCTGCTGGGCGGGGTGTCGTCGTCGGTGTCCAAGACCGTGGCGGCGCCGATCGAGCGCGTCAAGATGCTGCTGCAGAACCAGGACGAGCTGATCCGCACGGGAAGGCTGTCGGAGCCGTACAGGGGCATCGGCGACTGCTTCGGCCGCACCGTCCGGGACGAGGGCGTCCTGTCGCTGTGGCGCGGGAACACCACCAACGTGATCCGCTACTTCCCCACGCAGGCCCTCAACTTCGCGTTCAAGGACTACTTCAAGGCGCTCTTCAACTTCAGCAGGGACAGGGACGGCTACTGGAGGTGGTTCGCCGGGAACATCGCCTCGGGAAGCGCCGCGGGGGCCACGTCGCTGCTCTTCGTCTACTCCCTCGACTACGCCAGGACGCGCCTCACCAACGACTACAAGGCGGCGGCCGCCAAGGGCGGCGGCGAGAGGCAGTTCACGGGCCTCGTCGACGTCTACCGGAAGACGCTCCGGTCCGACGGCGTCGCGGGGCTCTACCGAGGGTTCAACGTCTCGGTGGTCGGGATCGTCGTCTACCGGGGCCTCTACTTCGGCATGTACGACTCCTTCAAGCCCGTCCTGCTCACGGGGAAGCTGCAGGACAACTTCTTCGCGAGCTTGGCGCTCGGATGGATGATCACCAATGGCGCCAACCTCGCCTCTTACCCGCTCGACACTGTCCGGAGAAGGATGATGATGACCTCGGGGGAGGCCGTCAAGTACAAGAGCTCCATGGACGCCTTCGCCCAGATCGTCAGGAACGAGGGCCCCAAGTCGCTCTTCAAAGGCGCCGGCGCCAACGTCCTACGCGCCATCGCCGGCGCTGGCGCGCTTGCCGGCTACGACCAGCTGCAGCTCATCTTCTTTGGCAAGAAGTACGGCTCAGGTGGCGCCTAAACAATAAACAGGGAGGGATTCATTTCAGTAAAACTCAATGATTAGATGGATGATGACGAAAAGGGCATTTGATTCCTAATATATCGTTTTTTTTACAGATTCAAATATTTGTACAGCTCTAAATTCACAATAAGAAGCATTCAGAATGCTTCCATTTGTTCGCTCTGATTGATTTTTTAAAATTCTGTTTGTAAGATTGCAGTGATGTAATAAGTACTCTCAGAAAATAAAGAGGGAACTCAAGTTGCCTGCAAGTGTTCACTGTTATCAACTTTACAGAGGCATCAGCGAACTCTGCTGACAAAATTCAGAGGAACCAACTCTTATCAGCACAAAGCCAGCCTGCCAAACAGAGTAGCTGTTCTATGCTACATCTTCCTGAACCCGAAGCCAGACAGATCAGGTTCTCAGTCTCAGGGCAGCGAACTATAAGCTTGGCTTCTGAAATCTGCATATGCCACAAGATGCCATGCCATCTCCTGTGCATATGCAGTCAGTATGACTGCGGTCCACCAAAGATTGGCCTCATGAACCTGTCATCGAACTTCCTCCAGTAGATGTGAACCGTGTGGACAGGCCTCTCCAGCATCATAGATAAGCTCCTCTTGGCCTGCTCCAAGACAATACCGCTGCCTGACGTGCCTTCATCAGCCGATAGAAACGGCAGGGTGAAGTCATCCTTTGGGGAGTTGCTGCCTGTGCTATGGCCTCTGGACAGCGCCCTCGAGTGACGCGGGAGCATGGCACTAATGAGGGGCCTGGTCAGGAAGCCAAACACCTGAAATCATGGCCAAGTTTCAGCTTTCTCAAGTCTTCAACTATGAACTGATGACATGAACTCTGCATTCACATGTTACCAGGTCCCTTAATTAAGATACCAACCAGAGTGGTGAAGAATACGACAACGATTGTGCTGGTGATGATGGTGGCATGAACTGGATCCGATGTTACACCTGAGAATGTGAACTATAATAATACATACAAGGTTGATAAGTCAACAATTACCTTCAAATCAGATATAGTTGCTTCCAGAAAATATTTATATAGTCAACCAAAAGACAATAGCTAGCAAAAACATTATTAGTTACCTGATTGTATGCTAGTGCAATCGAAACAGCACCTCTCATGAGCCCAGCCCACCAAATAACAACCTTGGCATGAGTAAAGAATTTCGAGGGTGTCATCTCATTGACATTCTTACAGAAAAGATTATAAATTGCTTTTCAGTCAAAACCAAAAAAAAAAACCTGGTGCTTGAATGTGATCGGGGTTCTCTCGGAACTTCCACTCATGGTATTTGACAAAATGGATATTGGGAAAACAAATGCCGCTCGTCCCAGTAATATGAGTAATATGACGATGCCAAAGATACCAATGGATGTCTTAAAGCTGGAAAAGTAAAAAAAAAAAAAAATGGCTTTGAGGCATGATTCTAGTTAACTAGGAAATAATAATTAGAAGCTACTCCCTCCATTTCAAGTCATAAGTCGTAGTCTTTATTATGTATCAAGACATAGTCTATATCTAGGTGCATATGTACCTAGAAAAGCTAGAATGAACTATAATTTGGGATGGAGGGCGTACTTTGGGACAACGGAAGACAGAGAGAAGAGACTTTGTGCTCTGTTGCTCACCTTTCCTTTGATGTCTTCCACTTATCAATGTCAAGAGCATCCATACCAACATAAAGAAAGATGAATGCCTCAGCAATGAAAGACAATGTTGAAAATGTTACGAACGACGTATAGGAATATGAAGTAAAGAATCAAACCCGGAGGAGCAGATTTCGTGGAAAACCCCTCCATGTGAAGGGGAAAAACCAGACAAGGCCAACAATCTCACTATCTCACACGCCTACAGCAAGAGAATCAAGTCTCCACGAAACCCTAGCAAGGGTGTATATATCTGAAAATGGCACCCCCCAAAACAAGATGGGCGGAGCCAGACTCCGCCACGCGCCGGCCCAAGCCTCGGCATGACGGACCTCGCTTCGCTTATTGGCCTATAAGTGAATTTGGAACAACTCCAACAAACTCCACCTTGAGACAAATTCATCTTGTATCATAAATCAACCATTCATCTGAACATACCAAAGATAGAAAATTGGTGCCAACAATAGTCTCTTGGACTATCAATTAAACCAACTAAGCTTGAGTGCTCAAAACATGAACAAAGCTTTGTCATCATATCGGCGAGGATTATCATGAGTACTAATCTTGCATACCTTCAGCTTACCTTCTTCAATCACATCACGCACAAAATGATACTTGATATCTATGTGCTTAGTTCTCTCATGGAACATCGATCTTTAGTGAGGTAAATTGCACTTTGGGCATCTGATTGCAAACTTATGCAAGATTCAACTCCACAAAGCTCGTACAAACCTTTCACCAAATTAATTCTTTGCACGCTTCACAAATAGCCATATATTCTGCTTTAGTAGTAGACAAAGCAACAATCTGATCAGTAAAGTAGCCCTCCAACTCACAAAGACAATGGAAGAAACACATAATTTGTAAGTGATCTTACTCCGGAGTACATAATCAGAATCCACATAGCCAATAATTTATCAGTTCTTCCAAACTTTAAACAGGAATCTACTTTGTGCCTCCGAGGTGCCTGAAAAGCGAATCCAATGTTCTTTGCCGAGGATTAGACATATATCTACTAACAAGACTCATAGCATATGACAAATCTGGACGAGAGCAAACCATGGCATACATCAAAGACCCAATGACACTAGAATAAGGAACCCTTGACATGTATTCAATCGACGCATCTGTACTAGGACACCGAAGCGGTGACAAAAAGTGAGGTGCAATAGGGGAAGACCTTAGCATTTGCATGTTGAAATGAAGAACTTTCTTGATATAATTTTGTTGACTAAGAAATAGCAAACCAATTTTACATCTCTACTAATTTCCATACCAAGAATTTTCTTAGCACTACCAAGGTCTTTCATATCAAACTCACTACTCAATAGCTTCTTTAACTTAGTGATTTCAATCTTACTCTTGGCAAACAATACAGAGCATATAACAACAAATATATAGGTGATCCATTAACATGCTTGATGTAAACACAACTATCATACTTAGATCTTTTAAAAGCGTGTGCTAACATAAATGAATCAAACCTTTTGTTTTTCGACGAGGGGTGTTTCAAACCATACAAGGATCTCTTCAACTTGCACATATATTTTTCCTTGCTGGGCACTATGAACCTACGGTTGGTCCATGTATATGTCCTCCTCAAGCTCTCCATGCAAAAACGCAGTCTTCACATCTAACTGCTCAAGCTCAAGATCATGTGAAGCAACAATACTAAGGAAAGTACGAATTGAACTGTGTTTTACCACTGGAGAGAACACATCATTGTAGTCAACACCCGGAATTTGACTGTAGCCTTTAGCAACTAACCTTGCCTTATACTTTGGAGGCTCGCTTGGAGATAAACCCTCCTTTCTCTTGAAGATCCATTTGCGGTGATGGTCTTCTTATTCTTTAGGCAAAGGTACAATCTCCCATGTCTCGTTTCTTCTCAAGAGAGCGCATCTCCTCATGCATAGCAGAAATCCAATTCTCAAGTATCACCACAACGAATAGCTTCTTTATAGGTTCTTTGGCTCATGAACATTCTCCACTGTTTCAAGCACAACTCAAAGCATAGTAAGACAAATTACACTCTTCAATAAGACGCTTAGGAGGTGCAATTGTCCTTTTTGACTTGCGTTGAGCAATAGGTAAATCCTCCTCTAAGCGCAAAATAGGAGGAGTTTTTTGAACATCATCATGAGCATCATCCTGCAACATCATTATCATGGTCACCATGCTCATCAATAGGCTCCACCGCACACTGTATCATCATCAACATGCTCCACTGCATGCGCATATATCTGCAGCTCCTTTTTCGGAACATGATCTCGAGGGCAACTGTCAAGTAAACATCATGATTCATTGAAAACAACACTCCTGCTCATAAAAGTCTTTCTGTTTGAGATTCCACAATTTATAGCCTTTGACTCCCGAACTATAACCAAGGAAAAGACACTTAACAGCTCTAGGCTCTAATTTTCCATTATCAACATGAGCATAAGCGATTGCATCCAAAAACTTTCACCTGTGAATAAAGTGCAGCAGACCATACCTCAATGGGAGTTCTTTTATTTAGTGGAATAGAAGGCGACATGTTTATCAAGTGCAAGATATTAGCACTTCAGCCCAAAAACGCTTGCTCATCCACGGCATTAGACAAAGATGCAACGGGCCTTGGACATGATGGTTACATTCATGCGTTCGGCCACACCATTCTGTTGTGGAGTATGGGGTATGGTGTGATGCCTAACAATGCCTTCCGATTTGCAATAATCATTAAATTCACGCGAACAAAATTCTCCACCATTATCAGTACGAAGCAATTTTACCTTCCTTTCAGTTTGCCTTTCTATCATTACTTTCCAGTTCTTAAAAGCGAAAAAAAGTATCATCTTTACTTTTGAGAAAATAAGGCCAAACCCTTCTAGAGTAATCATCAATAATTGTAAGCATGTAACGAGCACCACCAAGTGAGGACTTACGGGAAGGACCCCATAAATCAGCATGAACATAATCAAGAGTACCTTTACCAAGTAGTGTTGAAATGTACCCTTTTATGCTTCCCGAAAATACAATGCTCACAAAACTTTATTTTACTCGAAGTGCAGCCATCCAAAGAGTTTCTCTTCATCAATTACGCCATACCATGGTGACTCATATGTCCCAAACGCATATGCCAAAGGTTAGTTTTACTAGGTTCATCATTAGTAAAAGTTGTGAGCGGAATCGAGAACCGTGTAAAGTACACCCTCTAAGGACATATAACTGAGAATTAAGATCACCTTTCAAGCAAACAAGAGAACCTTTTGATACCTTGAACGCCATCGAACCGGAATATTTGTAACCTTCTACGCATCAAGCGTGCTCAATGAGATAAGATTTACGGACATCCTCGGTATATACGACAACGGCGTGTCATGCCATCATAGATCTTGATCAAACGAAGATCCAATCCCCACAATGTCACACGGGTTATCATCTCCCATCCGCACAACATCCCCTTTACGTGACAAAGCTTATCTGAGCTAAACCAATTTACTGTTAGTGCAAATATGAAATGAACATGCGGAATCGAGAATCCATTCATCATGACCAGCAACACAACCACAAATACTACTACGGACAATCTCGGAATCATCATCGAGATGGAAGTGAAAACAGAGACCTTACCGGCCGACTTGTTTTTCCTCTTCTCCTTATTACATGCTTTTACGCAATCCTCAATATTATGATTTGTCGACTTGCAATAAACAAGAACTTTTTATTACCATGCGGCTTGGACTTTGAACGGCCTCTCCCTTTCGTAGTTCTTTCTTCCATCATTGCCATTATTGGAGGATCTTTTGCGATTCGCCTCTCACATGCAAAGCATCGCCCTTGGAGGACGACGTCCCGTCATTCGCACACCATGCCTCTCATCTTCTCCCTAGATCTGGAGAGCCTCATAAACTTCCTTTAGGGTTAGTTCATCACGGCTCAAAAGTATGGTGTCACGAAAATTTGCATACGAATTTGGCAAAGAACATAGCAGTAAAAGACCTAAGTCCTCATCATCATACTTCACCTCCATCGACACTAGGTCGGCGACGATCTTCTTGAATTCAGCGATGTGGCTCATCACTGAATCCTCCTCCTTCATCTTTGAGGGTGAATAGCTTCATCTTCATCATCGCATCTTCTTGGTTAGATCCTTGGACATCTGAGATCGATTCTAGTTTGACCATAGAAGAGCTAGTTTTCTCTTTCAGACACTCCTGCAAAATATCATTATGAAGATGCAACTGAATTAGGGCGAGCGCCTTCTGATCCTTGCGGATCTCTTCTGGAGTCCACTCGGCCTTCCTCTTTCCGAAACTATCCAGCGCCTCATCATAGTCATGAGTCTGCGCGAATCCCCGCATCTTGACTTGCATATAGCGAGAACCGCGTGGTCGAAGTTGGCGGAAGATCGAACTTCATCGACGTCGTCATGAACCCTAACAGCAACCAAAGCTCGATACCACTTTGTTTACGAACGGCGTATAGGAATATGAAGTAAAGAATCAAACCACAGAGGAGACACACGATTTAACGTGGAAAACCCTCCGATGTGAAGGGAAAAACCACGGGGCTTGACCAAAGCAACAATCTCACTATCTCAAGAGTTTTGGGTTACACGCCTATGGCGGCTTACAAGAGAATCAAGTCTCCACGAAACCCTAGCAAGGGTGTATATATACTGTACCGTACCGCGGGGGGCTCCGGCCCAAGCCTCCGGCGACGGGCCTCCGCTTCGCTCCGTCAGAAGCCTGGCCTATATCCTGGAGTGAATTTGGAACAACTCCAACAGAAAATATATGCCTGCAGTCACATCCATAAGACAAGGATTATTTCACAACAGCATAAACATTTCTGAAAATGGATCCAAAGATACCAAATATGGCACTCGATTGTTAACAAATGTTTAAACAACGATTCTTGAGCTCACTTTGTCGTGATTCTTGAGCTCTCTGTCACGTTGTGCCATGCATAGTGGGACATGACAATCCCGCAAAAGAACACGGTCAAAATTCCACTCAGCTCTAGCAACTGCCGAACGGGATGCATGCAGCATCTTCAGATGAATTGTGGAAGAACAAATTTGAAGTACTAGTATCTAAATTTGGTAACCTTACCTCTGCCAGCATATATGATAAATAAGCCATGAGAGCCATCAAGGCAACCTCTCGATCAGTCGAATGCCTGAAAAATAAGGGGAAGAAATTTCAAAGATAAAAGAGTAGAAGATGAACACAAACCAAATCTATTCGTAGCAACTATTACTCACCTACCAAAATACAGAGCTTTGAGAACATATGCAGTCGCTAGACCGATCTGACAAATTGTGGTAAAAAGTTTAGGGTGTACAAAGAAAATGGCACTACTGTGTATATAGCGAATACTCCTACTTGAGATATGGAGAGAAAAACAGTTCTTACTGAGATTCCGATGATCGTGCTGGTTGCGAAGAGATAGAGGAAGTCAGATATCAGTTTTAGCACAACCCCACCTTTGAGCTTACTGACATCGAGATTCTTGATAACATTGAAAAGAACAACTGCTGTTGCATCGTTGACAACTCCTTCTCCAAACACCAAGCTGTACAGCCTTGGTGTCTCATCTTGGTTTATGACCTGTGTTTCAGCTCCGTGTATTAAGCATATGGAAGTGGAACACGTGTCAAAGAAGGTGTGCCAGGAATTCAGAAAGCAGGGTATAGCAGACCTGCAATGTGCACACGGTATCTGTTGAAGAAAATATGGCTCCCAGTGCTGCAATTACAATTTACACATGAGATCAGTACTAAGTTCATGAAAAACATGGGACAGTTTAATAAGAAACAGAAATAAAGGAAGACAAACCTAAATAATCTACCGCACCAAGCTCTCCAAATCCGACTTTCGGGAAGAGCCAATAGCAGCCTGATATTAACCAGAAGTACATGTCATAAACAGTCACCAAAGCTGAGAAAGTTGTAAATGGCGAATGCGTTTTTATTCACAATTAATTTGCTGGGATCCTAGATTTTACTAGTTATAGTATTATATTGTATAAAAAATGACCTATAGATACAAAGAGCTTACGAATCAGTAAAACCTACCTGCCGAAACTATTGCACCTGAAATGAAAACACCGAACACGCCGAAGGACATGATGGTCATGAAGTTGTGGAAGAACTGCTTCTTCTTGACCTGAAACCTGTAGGCAAATAGCAGCCATGTCCACAACGCTCGACTAGGCATCTGATCGAAGCTCACAGTCATGCCATTACAAATCTACCTTGCAAGTGGATCAAGCATGCATACCCGGCATTGAAGATTATCGGTGGAAGCACGTAGATGAAGAAGAGCTGCTCGTCGAACTTCAGGATGTGCGAGTGCTTCCCTTTGGTGAGCAGAAATATGATCGCCCCTATGATGCACCCCTGCCAAAAGAAAAATCGTGGAAATAGTTGTTGACAGGGAAACAGTGAATCGTTAATACTGAGTGAAAATTTGGCGTGGCGGGGCTTGGATTCGTACGATGATGAGGGCGGTGATGGACTCGTTGACCCACTTGTTCTCCTCGAGGAGGTGGCCGGCGACGAGGCACAGGCACAGCACCGCCGTGAACACGCAGATGGACACCACCGTGGTGCTGCTCCCACCGGTCCCATCCGCCGCCACTGCCGTCACCACCAGCTCTTCCCACCACGCCGCCGCCATGGATTCTCTGTCGCTGTCTCTCGCACCATGTCCTCTGTTTTTGCTGCCGCCGTGTGACGGACGATTTTGGCGCGTAGGCAGGGGCCTTGGAAACGGCAGTGGCGCAGTGCACGTCACAGCAGCACGCGTGGATGGACCCTGGCACCGTGCCTGCGTGGTACGTGATCCCAGGAGCCACGTCTGTGGGAGGAGTCCTGAAGGGCTGCTGCCGTGTTACATTTCGGCCTGGGCACGCATGCTTGGGCGGTTGGGCCGTTCGAGATGAGCTCTAAATCTTTTAAAGACTGACACTGACAATCCACATTTTTATAAGTTGTTTTCTATTTTCTTTAATTAACGAAACGACGCTATTTCATTCTTTATATATTTTTATTACACAATACACTAAGACGCTCACAATACACGCACACTCAGCTCTATAAAACCCACACACGTATCTCTATGAGCATCTTCAAAGACTGAGCTGGCAAATCCTCGAGATTGATGAAGTCACCATAGGCGCCTCGCTGTCGACGAGAACATCGTCGATCACCAAAAGCTCAATTAAAGAGCTACTCCTCTCTCCCTATTTTTCCAGCCCTAAATAAAAGCTCTCAACCTAACAAATGAGAGTCTAATCTCTAAGGGCAATGACCTTTGAACAAGCCATATCTCATATATATATATATATGCACTTGGCTATGCACTCAATCCAAATACCCCGAGAGGTAAAACCATCCAAGTTTTTCTTCATCGATCCAATGGGCCCGAGGCTTTTTCTCGATCGATTCGCCTCAACACAAGCTTCGAGATTCCACCACGTGTCCTTCGATCTGCCACTCCCCGATTTTGAGGCCCAGACCAGTCAAACCTGCAATTGATGGTTTTGAGACCTAAACCACCAAATCGTCCATGCCTGGTTTTGAGGTCTAAACCCATAAAACCCTCCACCGATGGTTTTGAGGCCCAAATCATAAAATCGTCCATCCCCGGTTTTGAGGACCAAACCGGTAAACCCTCTTGCATGCCTCGCAAGGCGTGACTAACTGATGTTGACACGTGTCCAGCTAGCCTCTACCAACCTTTGACCTTTGTCTTCCTTCTTGACTTGACCGATGCCATCTTCATCACCCACATAGATGAATGTTCGGCCTCCGCCAAGTGCCACGATGCCATCGTCCTCCTCCTTGACTCGGTCGATGCCATATTCATCACTCATGTACTCTTGCTCTTCATTTGCCCAATGTGAGACGCACATGATCCGTTCTCCAGCCTCTGGTCCCTCAGTCCAAGCTTTCTCACCTGTACTTCACCACTCCCGATCCATCACGCATCGACTCTGCACTTGACCTTTTCCATTGTTGTCGATCGTCTTGATGCACCCAACACTTGTCAGGGACGGAGGCAACGCTGGGGCAGGGGGGGCTCGAGCCCCCTACCACTCCCAGGCATGTGGAGCCCCCCTGAAGCCCCCCTTAAAATTTCACGTATATATGAATTAGATAGGAGGGGCTAGGATTTACTGGACATAGAAAAAGACATATTTTGCTTATTAGGCAAGCAATTCTATAGATACAGAGGATTTTCCCATCAAAGCCCAAGGCCCAATTTAGGGGTGAAAGAAACCTATCCACCGTATCCCAATTTCCCTTGCACGGTTCCACCGTGACTCCCTCGAGTCCTAGCGGACGGCGGCGGCTTCTACGCGACTCCGTCTTGACTCCCAAGTCCCAACCCTAGCAGAGTAGCAGACAGCGTCGGCTTCTACGCACGTCGCGCAGCTCCTAGACGCAGCCAAACGAGGTGGACGGGCGCCGGCGGCCGACGGGCAGGCCACACGTCGTAGCGACGCAGTCCGCAACTTGGTATCGCTAGGGGGCGGGCGGCACAGCATCAGGCGGCCGTGAGCAGGCAGCAACACCAGCACTGCAGTATGTAGCAGTGGGGCTCCAAGCATCTAGGCGAGCAGCAGCCGAGCAGGTGATTTTTTAACTGTGAAACTGAGTCCGTGATTGAACGATGGAATGTTTGATTCATGGTAGATTTCAATTTTCAGATTTCTAGTATGTCGAAAAGAACTTTGCGCAACTACTTGTCACCAAGTAGTGGCTCAACTCCACATACTAATGAGAGCACAAGTCAACCGAAAAAAACTAGGACAAAGTTTAGTCATTCAAACCTAATTGCTGACCCTGGAAATCGCAAACCAATCGATTACCCTGGAAACCTAGGGCAGAGTTTAGTCATGAATCGATGTTTTCAATATAAGACTACTTCAAGCTATTATATTTGTCTATTGTGATGGGTCATAGTAGAGCTAAGTTGCTGTAGCACTTTTGTTTAGCTCATCCTAAATTTTTTTCTGGCTTCATCCCTGACACTTGTATATTTACAGGGCAAGAGATATGTTGCATGACACACTCGATGCAACACAACACGACACCTCCGATTAGCCATTAACATAGTCAATCATATATGAAATTAACTCAGAAAAACCTAAAACCTCTCAACTCTTATATCAATCATTCAAATCACGCATGAATGCGACCAAGACACTCTCTCACATATGTAGCATCCACATGCACGTACTGAACACCTGAACTTTTAGAGAAAGATGGCTTGGTAGCTAGCTAGTACTGCACCACACCATGCACACACCTCTAGGTAATGAGTAGTAGCAAGCCGCTTGACACCTGGTTAGTTAGAGACTCGTATTAACTCAACGTTTCTTTGATATCACCAGTGATATGGTATGGTACAACGTGTCACTGACACGGTCAGCGAAGAGAGACGTTGGAAAACTTGGCCCATCACCGACAAAAAATAATATTCTTTGAAGTACTCCCTCCATCCAATATATATAAGGGCGTCCTCGACAGTATGAGATAGCAGTTAGCTTATACATGTCATGTCATTGTCACTTTATGATGTAGACTTCATATATAAATGTTTTTTTATTCTACATGTTCTCTCCCCCCTCTCATTCTTTATGAGCAGGCCCACAACCTGTCTCGTTTTTCTGAACGAGATAGGTGTGGAGATAAGAGGTAGTCTCTTCTCTTTTCCATCTTCTCTCTCTTCCGTATCAGAAAAATAATGACATGGATTCCTATAAGCTAGCTAAAGTGGCACAGTTGGGGACGCCCTAAGTTGAACCACATTTGGTTCAAAGACCAAGAAACATATTTAATTCTCTCTCTAAACACTAGTACTACGGCATCGATGTGCATGCGTCTTTAGATAGAGCACGTCTTATATTATGGGACTTTGAATAGAAAATGGTTACGTCTTATGTATTAGGACGGAAGGAGTATACAACAAATAAGAGATGTGTATCAAATTACATGCGTCTCTAAAAGTGTACCCATCTCAGTTGTATTTTCTAGAATAGACGGGATTGCGTCTCACCTTTCTTCTTAAGAGTATCCAGGATACTCCCCCGTGTGTTAAAAAAAAGACGGGATTCAAAGAGCCGCATCTCTGAAATTGTACTCATCTCTTATGTGTTCCTTAGAATAGACGGGCTTCAAAGAAGGGCGTCTCTGAAATATTAGAGCCGGTGTTAATTCATCATAGACTGGTATCGTTCCTACGTGGCTCTGGACAGACAAAAGAGATGCCCGGTGGATAGACATGTCTCTAACACAATATCTGATGTACATGTCTTCTTTGTGCTTTCTGTCGTAGAGATGCCCGGTGGATGGCCTGCTCAAAGTTCATGGCTATTGGGTTTGCTCGTTAGAAGCTGTGTCGAGATCACAGTGTAAAGTTGAGAAATGTTTGGACTACGTCGTTTCAATTGGTTATTATTAAGAAATCATTTACAAAGTTTTAATTGGCTATTAAATAGGTAAACCAAGTTAGTATTTTATTTTATCAAAGGATCAAAGTACATTTCGAGCGGCCTCCATCCGGATCCAGTGCGCCGCCGCCGCCGCGCAGATGGCGCGCGCTCGCCTGCTCGCTCCCGCCTCCGCTTTCTCACGAGCACCGATTCCTCCGCGCGCGCGTTCGCCTGCTCGCTCACGGCCTCGAGGGCGGAGCGGTCATCGCCGGATGATCTCCTGCTCGACGAGCAGGACATCGATGTTCCGTGGCACGGGGACCTGGCGCCAGGCCAAGAGCTTGAGCAGGGTGGACTTGCCCATGCCGTTGGGGCCGACGAGGCCGTACCTGCGGCCGTGCGAGATCCGGAGGGAGGCGCTCTTGAGCAGCTCCTTGCCGCGCGCGGAGACGGAGAAGTTCTCAGGCACGATGTCCCTGACGTTGTCGTCGACGGCGCCGTCGGCGGCGGAAGAGAACCGGGGACGCGTGCGCCGATGACTACGGAGAAGGCGTCGCGGTCGTCGCGGAGCGCCTCCTGCCTGGCGGCCTCGGCGGCCGCGGCAGCCACGGCCTCGCACTTGTCCTTCCTGGCGTCCTTCTGCGAACCAGTCTGAACTCTGAACACTGGATGAAAGTGGCAGCTTTGAATTATCCTGAACTGTTCATTTTTTTTTGCTGATTCACTGCATCTTGTTAAACTGTTTTTTTTGCTGATATGAAACTATTCTCTTAGGTCTCGTTGGGCTCGCTGAATCTTGACTGAAACTGGCTAAAAAATACTGTTCTGGCTGAATTGTTGTGAGAGAAAAATACTATTCCGGCTGAAAAAAAACAAGCCGAATATGGGGTAAGCCGAACGGAGCCATCGGCCCTCTAGTCCAACTGGTTAGCGCGTCCCGGCGACACTCCTCAGGTCTTAGGTTTAACTCGCCGTGGGAGCGAATTTCAGGCTAGGGTTAAAAAAATCCCCTCGTCTGTCCCACACCAAAGCACAGGTCTAAGGACCGGCCCGTTCTCACAGGGCAACGGTGCCGCTGTGTAAGGGTGGGGCAGGGGTTCGGAGGCTTTCTGAGCCTGCGTGAGAAGTTCTTCTTCTTAATACAATGCCCGAGGATAATCTTACCCTCGCAGGTCCAGCATCTGGAGTACCCGTACAACCTGCCTAATGATATGGGTCCAAACTGTCTGCCTAACTAATGAGATATGATGGATGATGCCACCTTATTGTTTTGTTATCAAATATAAATGCTACCTATTATCTTTATTAAGGACTGCTATGATTAATATATGTTCTCAGAAAACATTTATGTATTGCTAATTTGCTATGATTAATATATGGTTATCTAGAAACATATGTATGAATATTTGGTTCTCTGGAAAGCTAGGCGTTCCAAAGTCTTGTGTTTGATGCAAACATACTGTCGACTATGCATACGAGGCTATTGTTGCTGGCCACAGTTGTTCTGCTTCTTTTTTTATGCTGCATTTAAGTCATCCTTTGTATAGAAACTACTATAAAAACCATGGGTTGAGAAAGATAGTTTCTACTTAGATATTAATTATTGTTTTTCTCTTTTGGAAACTATGTCAAGAAACCATGCTTTTGGGACTGCCTGATGTATTTTACCGGTCTTAGACGATGGGAGGTGGCACAACAATTGACAAGATAATTCTGTCAAAAAAAAAAACAATTGAGAAGATAAAGGTCGCCGATTCCAGAACTGGACCACCTTGGCGATTACTTTTCTAGCGGAAGAGCTGGCTGAGCATATAGTTGACCGGAAAAACTACATTGTTAGTAAAATTTGGACAATTTGATAGAAAGCATTGTAAAACCCTGATGATCTGGAACGAAGACATGTAGCACCAAAATTCCTTTCGGTGCAAAAGGAAACCATGAAAACATGCTGACGAGTGGTGATTGAGGTTTATTGTTGCTATACATACCGTTATCGCAAAGACAATGGCACCACACCATTTATTTCAGCTTGTTCTCTTTCACAGAATACTATTGAATCGTTCAAAACATCCGAAATTTACTGTGCAAGGCACCAGCCGAACACAGTGTAAGTCTAGGAGCAATTTGCAAGAATAGCACCGAGGGCGAATTCGTTCCGAAACAAATTTATGCGAACTACTCCCTCAGTCCCGTAAAAGTTGTAATTATAGAGTTTAAATTTGTCTAAAAAGAATTGCATACATAGATACTATCATTGCAGGCTATCACATCAAAGTGGGACCTGCACCTAGATGCTGTTGAAACTTTATGCCATGCTTGTGCTGGTACTTATAATGATTTTAAATCCAAACCGTCAATGCATCAGAAACCTTTATGTAAGGACAGCGGAGTCATTTTACACTCATCTTAATTTGCTCCTCAAATCCAACAATTGTAATATTTTTTTTGAGTAAAGTCCAATTTATACTCTTCAACTTTCATCAAAGTCCGGATTTCAACCTCGAACTTCAAAACCGAATAACTTTGGCCCTTCAACTCTAGAAACCGTTCAACTTTCAACCTTCTGGGCGGTTTTACGGGTGAACAGTAACTTTTGATATTTTTGGGAAGCGCCGAAATTTTATATTATTTTTTCGAGCATCTTAATGTCCTCAAATGAAAAAACTCAAAACTACAAAGTTGTAGATCTCATCGAGATCTACAATTTACATATAAAAATTATCTTCATCCGACATCGTATAGAAGATTTTTCTATTTTTTAAAATCTGAGTCTCATCACGCGACAAAATATAGTGCTGAAATTTTATATTATTTTTTCGAGCATCTTACTGTCCTCAAATGAAAAAACTCAAAACTACAAAGTTGTAGATCTCATCGATGTCTACAATTTGCATATAAAAATTATATTCATCCGACATCGTATTGAAGGGTTCAATTTTGTCGCGTGATGAGACTCAAATTTCAAAAAATAGAAAACCCTTCAATACGATGTCGGATGAAGATAATTTTTATATGTAAATTGTAGATCTCGATGAGATCTATAACTTTGTAATTTTGAGTTTTTTCATTTGAGGATAGTAAGATGCTCGAAAAAATAATATAAAATTTCAGCACCATATTTTGTCACGTGATGAGACTCAAATTTTAAAAAATAGAAAACCCTTCAATACGATGTCGGATGAAGATAATTTTTATATGTAAATTGTAGACCTCGATGAGATCTACAACTTTGTAGTTTTGAGTTTTTTCATTTGAGGACGTTAAGATGCTCGAAAAAATAATATAAAATTTCGGCACCTCTCGAAAATATCAAAAGTTACTCCACAAGGTTGAAAGTTGAACGGTTTCAAGAGTTGGAGGGCCAAAGTTATCCGGTTTTAAAGTTCGAGGTTGAAATTCGGACTTTGGTGAAAGTTGGAGGGTGTAAATTGAACTTTATGCTTTTTTTTTTTTTTTGAGGACGGAGAAGAGGGCTTCAGATGTTCAGAATCGGTCCTTTATGAGCTGAGGGCTGGATCTCAGATAGTTACGCGGCAACTACCAATGACATGAGCAGCGTGAGACGTTGCTGTGCGGAGGCAGTTGAGCAAGTGATGAACAGTGGACGAGTCTCTCGGCAGGTGCAGCCGAAGTCATCCGGCGGGCGCCCTGCCCGTGAAGACATTCAATTTCAGCACAAACGAAGCTTTCTTCAATTGGTCACGTACTACTCCATGTGCAAATCATTTTGATAGAGTTCGCGTGGCTTTCCTGATGAAGTTTTCTGCCAAGATTTTACTCTTTTTTGGGCAAAAAAATTGCAAGTGAGCTCTCTGCTATCAGATTGATTTGCAGAGCTCACGCCATCTACTCTGCGAACTGGAAGTGTGGCTTACACGTTCACCCGATGCGTCACACTATGTCCATTCCACGGAATTTTTGCGCCATTTATTTTTGTTTTCCTAAAAATGAAATCTCGTCGTTCGTCAGGGACTAGTGCACAGATTTGAGTAGGAGTTAAGTTTATACCAGCAGCAGAGGCAGGCATCATGATCATACGAAGCATTAGGAGTTAGGACTAAAAGGCATAGCGTCGTGCGCGAATTTCGTGCGTTGCGTTTGCGTCAAGAATGGAGCGCGCGAGGTGCCGCTAACAAATGTACAGCCCCTGCTCCCGTCCCTGATGACGCCTGAACTAAAACTGCTGCGCGAGTGCGCGGCCGTCACGTCCGGGCTCCGGCGGCCCCTGCCGCTAGCTGCCGTTCTTGTGCTTGTGCCGCCCCTCCCTTTTCTATCTCTAGACCTTCCTATATTTTACTGCCTGCAGCTCCCTCTCCGGGTTCGGTTGGTCTCCGAGCCAATTCCGTCTCTCCTTTTGGTGGACGCATCTTGGCATCGGCGCGCCTCTGAGCGAATTCCGTCTCTCTTTGCTGCAGACGACACAACAAGCAAGTCCAGAGATGTCGTCGTCGCACGGGCCGTGCACGGCAGCCATGTCGTCGGCAGCCGTCGGCGCTGTCGTCACTTGTTGCTCCGCCGCCAAGGACGAGGAGGAGCAGCGGCAGCGGCTGCAGGGGGCAGCTGAGACGGAGCGAGGGCGTGCGGAGGAGGAGTGCAGCGCCGCCGCCGCCGCCGCCGCAGCGGAGCAGGAGCAGCCAGTCGAGGCGGTGGGCCGGAAGCTCAGCGAGGCGTCGCTGTGCGCCACCACCAACACCCACGAGGAGGAGACAGAGGAAGAGGAGGACGACGAGGAGGCGGCGGCGCCGCCCAAGGACATCGACCTCGGCCCCCGACTCAGTATCAAGGAGCAGCTCGACAAGGACAAGGTGCGTGAAACAAGTCAATTTTCCTTGCCGACGCAATTCGCTGTACCGCTCCGCTTGATTTACGTACTTCTTTATTTCTTCTTCCTCTGTTTTAGGTCAGTTACGCCTCAACTAATTGCTGCTTAATTATTTTGCTACTACTAATCCGTCGCTCACTTGGCTGTTACCTGTTGTTGGCCCTGGTGTTACTGATGACGTATAAAAAAGGATGATGAGAGCCTGAGTAGGTGGAAGGAGCAGCTCCTGGGCAGCGTCGATTTGAGCACCGTTGGAGGTACTTTTCAATCCATACTCTCCGTTCAAACCTCTCCACATTTTTTCCGTGCCACAGTGAACAGTCACTTTGCCTACGTGCTTAGACTGTCTCCAATAAGAGACTTGGGCATCCAAATCTAAAATGGGTATCAGAGAACTAAAATTAGCCTCCTCTAACAGATTACCTAGAGACTCATTTTAGGTTGCCTGATAGACAACTCAAATATGAGCATCCTCTTTCTAGAAACCTATTTATAGAAAAGACTCTTTTTTAGATCCTGTTGTTGGAGAAAATGTCGAATGGGTATTGAACCCTTTAACTATACCGCTATCAAAGATCAAATGGATCTTATATTTTAGATATTGTTGTTGGAGATAGTTTTAGCTTTCCTGTTCGCCCGTACCTCGTTACATTGTGTTCAGTATATCCGCTCGTGCAAATATTTACACCTTGAACCGCAAACAACAGAAAGGGAAAGGTGAAAAAAGAAGACAGCATCTGATCTGATAACCAGCAAGCAACACTTTCTCTGTTTACTTTGGAAATAAGATTAAAAGATGGCATTTTCCTAAAATGCTGCAAATTGTTTGATGGTTGCCACTCTTTTCCAAATTATAGTAAAGGTACATAAGCTCATCACAACATTCAAATACTTACTCCATTCCAAATTATAAGATGTTTTGACTTTTCAGTTAATATTTTTTATTATACACCTATATATATACACTATATTTAAAAAAAACTCGACCCGTGGGGTGTAAGACAGCCCCCCGGACATTGTGCTTAAGAAGAAGATCTTCTCACGCAGGTTAAGAAAATCCCCGAACCTCTACCCCACTCGTACACAGTGGCACCGTAGCTCCCGTGAGACTAGGCTAAGTAATCATATAATTTGAGAAGGAGAAAGTAAATCTTACCTGTGTAAATATCGTCGAACAACTGAACTAGAACTAGCAAATTTTAAGATCGATGAAGTCACCGCAGAAAACAACTATTGATGGAGAACCAACCCTACACCGTAAGAAAATAGTGTCATCAAATCTTAGAATAAATATAAAAATATATTTACCGACGGGTGGCAGAACAAGGGTGAGCAAGTTCCACCGAGTAATATAACCTGCAGAGGTACGCTTAGTTCTCCCCATTATGTTGAGAATACATACACGTTGTCCAGTTCAGAATTATTGTCAAGTACAAGTAAATTGTTCACTAGGGTTGCGTAGCGAAGCTACAAGCCGAAAGAAATTAAAAATAAAAAAAAAGAAATTGCACACATATAGGACCACAGTGATTTCAAAGAGAGTAGTAGCAAGATGGCACTGAATTGCCCTTAAGGCCTTTCCCAACGTGGCACCTTGGCTTGTAGTTCCATCCAGCCTCTACCTCCACACCAATCATCCATGTCATCCCGAGTTGTGGCTCTGCGACGTGCCAGAGCATTCCATAGAAGCTGCGAATGCTCCGACTGATAAAATGCACAAGCCACTACTTTTAGACGAAAAGCTAATAGCCTGTTCGTTTGGCTGTGACTTATCATAAACGATCGTAAATTTTCAGCCGGAACAGTATTTTTCTCTCACACAACCCAGCCAGCAGTACTTCTTAACAAATCATCAACGAAACGAACCAGACCAACCGAACAGGCTGTAAGTGTAAGACATTTGTGAGAGAGAAAAGGCATTGAAAAAAGTCTTTTCATTTAGGACTTAACACCATTATCGCTTTAAAGCAACAGAAGTACCAAATAGGAAAAGAAAAATAAAAGGGGTAACAAATATAAAAAAAATAAGTTGGGTGTTAATTAAATAGAAAAGCAAAAACATGGCAGCTAACTTTTGATCGAGGCCACTAGCTTTAGCTGCCCTAATAACCAGCCAGACGTTTCTCCTATGAGAAAAGTGAAAAAGTGCGTCATGTCGGGATACTGCAGAAAAGACCGTATGGCGTGCTTTCACGGCCTTTTGACCCAAATCATTTGCAACGGAAGGTTGCTCCAGGCCGCACTTTGCTGCGACATCTTTCATTCATTCCAGCTGCCTAGGTATCTAATTCTGTACTTTATTCATATGATAGTGCTCCATTGGGTGGTCAATGACAATGCCCTCAAAGGCTGTGAACGACAATGATGCAGCGTCTCCAAACTGTGCCACAAGAAACAGCACAAAGCATAATGATGCATATTTTCTTTTCTTTCTACTAATAACAGAGCAATGCATGTGCCAAGATGAAATCGGGAACTTCTTGCTTGTCTAAACTCTGTTCACTATGAATGAATTCTTTCGATCTGGTTGGGTCTGTGCGTTGGACAGAATTGGTGCATAGTACTCGATCTTTTGAGTCTATTGTCGTGTTCGGTTCCAAGTTAAGCTCACAACACGACAAGAGTGACGAATTAATCAAACTGCAGAGACGCTGGAGCCGGACGTGAAGATCACGAGGCTGTCCATCCTGTCGCCCGGGCGGCCGGACATGGTGCTGCCGCTGCCTGCGGAGCCCAAGAGCAGCAAGGAGCCGTGGTTCACGCTCAAGGAAGGCAGCGCCTACAGGCTCAAGTTCACCTTCTCCGTCGCCGACAACATCGTCTCCGGCCTCCGCTACACCAACACCGTCTGGAAGGCCGGCATCAGAGGTAGCTACTAGCTAGGTCCTTCTCCTGGAGACTGGAGGTGATCTTGGGATAGTTTTGATGAATTGCACTGTCTGTCACAGTGGACAACACCAAGGAGATGCTGGGCACCTTCAGCCCCCAGGCCGAGCCTTACACCTACCTGACGCCCGAGGAGATAACCCCGTCTGGGATCTTTGCCCGCGGATCATACTCTGCAAGAACAAAGGTAGCCCTCCTGGATGGCTGGAACATTCATACACCACTCTGCAGTGTTCACTTACGCCTCTGCATATGTATTCTGCAAGTCAATGAGCAAGAGATGTTCCTTTTTTTATTTTTTTGCTTCAACAGTTTGTCGACGACGACCGGAAGTGCTACCTGGAGATGAACTACACCTTCGACATCCGCTGTGATTGGACGTCAACCTGATGAGCAGCGTGCTTTTCAATCACTCGCTAATTACTCTGCTACTGCTTCACGTGGGCGTACTGCGTACACGCTTTGGTTATGACTTATCAAGTCCCAAACTGTTGGGCTTGCCTAATAAAATGGTAACCGGATTGTTTCTAGAGTTAAGAAGAAAGTGATTTTGTTGGTTACTTGGATAAACTATATAGGCGAACTGATTCTGTGCAACAAGTAAATCAGGATAAGCTAACTTTTCTTTAGCTCCCAGCATTTTACTTCATTTATTTCAAAGATAACTTGTGAGTGATCCACTAAAATAGCGTTTGATAAAGCTCCCTAGAATCAGCCTGGGAGCTGAAGCTGACAGCACAAGTGAGGCATCAGGAACTGATGTGTGCAGTTCATGGGCAGAGCCAGGGCAGGTGCTGCAGCGCCACCCCCAAGAAGAGAACATAGTTGTGGTGTATTATTCTCTAAGACATGATAACTGACGACATGGAGCTGTTGCAATTTCTACGAATCATCTTAGTAAGATGATCCATGAGCAGGTCTCGAGCAATCAAGCAATGAAAGAGCAATTTGCAGGGAGCATGAAACTAAATTTAGGTTTTTACTATCATCTAGACTCTACATCAAAATCATATGATCTTCAACAAAACTGACATCGTTTAATTCATTCATTCATACTATGGTTGCTCACTGGATATTTGATCGGTCAAAACTGATCTGTTTGAAGTTCATAAAACAAAAGATAAACTTGTAACACACAAGCCTAAACCACTCTGCAGTAAAGACTGCAAAAAACAATGCTACCCTAGCACAAGTTCTCACTGAAACTCAAGCGTCTACATCATCGGCTTCTTTCTCTGCAACTAGCATAAGCATCTCCAGTCGCCTGTCGAACAGAGCTGCACTCTCATCCCTCTCGTCGAGCTCAGCACCCTCTGCTTCGAGCCACTTCTCACGCAAATCATCAAGAATGTTGCCTTGGTCGGTGTTGCCTCCAGTCCCAGGTGCACTAGGACGAGTTGTCCGCAGTGAGTCATCTCCGGATGGTGGCGGAAGTGTCAAGAGCAAGGCCCGGAACTCTCGGGTGTCTGCGAACATCTCAAAGTTGCAAGCAATGATATCCAAGATATACTCCCTTATTTTCATGACACCATATCTGCGTTTAGGAGTAAAATCTGAAATTCAGTAACAAACTAGATAAGCTATTCACAGCAAGCATCAAGAATATTGAGCAGTCGTACATGTCAGACAGCATCAACCAGTGGCACAGTTCTGCAGGAGAAACATGTTCCAGATATGGCAACAGCATATCAGCTACGACCCGCTTAAGGGGAAACAGCAGGTACCTTGATGCAACATCAAATAGTTCTTCAGCCTGCCACAGTTGTACTTGAGTTTAGTTTCATGAAGAAAGTAAATCAGTATTGTCATTTAATAAACTCAAGTTTTGTACCCCTACCTGATCAGGATCCAAATGCTCTAGCTTATCAGTATACCTAAAAGTTTCGCAAGAAAAAAAGTAGGCCAGAAAACAGCATTAGCAATAATAAAACAATAGTGGTAAAATATGTAAATTACAATTGGATCTTACATGTATTCGAGCATCTTTTCAAATGCTTCTGCACTTAAGTCATGCTCCTCAAGAACAGGAACGTTCTGAGCAGCTTGAAATCCACAGTTACCTTCAAGGAAATCAACAGTTCGAGAAAGCCTGGCTCTGAAGTACTCCGACCTCGAGGCCAAAATTACCTGATGACAATGGAAAACCTTATCACCTACTTTAATATAAAGATCGGCAAGATCATCATCCTCCGAGTTCCTTATCATCTCATTGGATTCCTCACTACAATAGCCTTCTCTTGAGTTCGCTAGACAAGTCTGCAGAATACGCTGCAAGGCTGATGGAAGGCGATCTTCCTCAGGCAAGGATTGCGCTTGTAAGATGAACCGTTTCTGTGAATTGTCCAAATCCAGTTCTCTTGCTGATTTGTACTCCGCATACTTCTGATGCACAACTTCTTTATCCAAAATCTTTTGCAACTCCTCACACTTGCAAACTTTGCATGCCCGCGCCAAATTTTCCATGTCATCGACAGCTACCTCCAGTCTATCAGAATAGAAGAAATGGATGAGGCTGTATAAGGCGCCATAATACAACTTTTGGTTAGAAAATCTCACTTCCTTCCTGTCTTTCCAGTCTGTCTTGAACTTCTTTTCAAAGAAAGGAGATCGGGCACAAAGGATGACCCGATGAGCTTCAACAGGCTTTCTGTCCACGTAGAATGTAATATCTGGAGGGAAAAGGCAAGCACTTGATGGATCATGCTTTGGCCCAAATCCTGCATATTCAGGTATATATATGTTAAATCAACTTCAATATGCAATAGTAAAGCAAAGTCCGCATTTAAACTTCTACACATTGCTGGATGAAATAACCAAAGCAGTCATCACCTTTTTACAGGCATTTTGCATATTGCTAGATGAACTGATTACACATGATGCATTGGTTTGAGAAATTCAGATCTTATCCACTCTTAATAACCTTATAGACTGACATTGGCATACACAAGTAATGAACGGTTAAGAATTCGAATATTGAAGTAACTATTCTTAAGATTCTGGTAAACATAGTTGTGCCTGAATTGGAAATCATATTTGAGAACCCCAATATCCCAAATTCTGAATTGCATCCTCAATTCCAATCTTTCTACTTGGCATCAAAATAGCTCAACAATGAGCAATCCAAGAAATGCAAGAAAATAAAGTTACATACTTGCATTCAGACTTATGCACATTGTGCTGGATAAAATAAGTTATGCAAACATAATTCTTGTCCTACTAAACATTGCATACAGCAAGATGAACCTATTGCACATTACAGTAAGCATATTAATTACAAAATGAAGATCATTTTTTACTCCCAACGATCTTGGCATATCCATGGGATAAATGAGTAGCAATACAAACATTATTAAAAATGAGTCATCCTTTCCTATGATTAGTGGAGTAATGGCCCAATTTCTAATATAATCTTTGGACTTACCATCAACACAGCTCAAGAACGAGAATTCAAAGAAAGGCAAGCAGCACTCACCGGCGGCCGCGGCGAGGGCAGCAGTTTCAGCGCCGGCGCTTCCCTGCAGCATCTCGAGAAAAGCGGTGCGGTTGGCGGGGCAGGCAAGGAACGTCGCCCGCAGCGCGGCGGGGAGCGGCGCGAGCGGTGGCGGCCTGGCCTCGAACGACTTGAGCAGCCAGCGTAGGCGCAGGTTGAGGGCCGCGTAGTGGCAACGGTCGCCGTCGAAGGTGCGCTCAGCGCAGACGGCGCCGGCCTCGAGCAGCATCCGCGCGGCCTCGGCGTGTCCCGCCAGGCAGGCGTAATAGAGCGCGACGGAGTCCCAGCGGTCGCGCGCGTTGACGTTGGCGCCGGCCTCGAGGAGGAGGGCGAGGCGGTCGCAGTCCCCGGCCCGCGCCGCCTCGAAGAGGTCACCGCCGGGGACCTTCTTGAGGGGCACCGACGGCTGAAGGTCCTCCGGGTCGAGTTCGACGTCGATGTCGAGGCCCCGGAGTTCGACGTCGGGTTCCGAGTCCATGTCTGTCCGGATTGGCAGCGCGGCGGCCGGCGGCGGTGGGGGATAGCCCACAGAAGACAGAACTGGTGCGCAGAAAATATCCGATGCGGACGCGAACGCGAGGCCCGGCGCCGGAGAGGAGATTTCATTCCGTGGAAATTTAGAAAAGAGTTAATTTAATCATGCCATTACAAATAGGGTTAATTGGATTGATGACGTTATAACGTTTGCGCTTCAGAGATATGACACTATAACTTAGTAATTCACCTATTTTAAACTATTTCATTGGTTCTCTATTCAATATATATCACTTTCTACGTTCTCAACAACATTAGACCCGGTTGACGGTAATTTTGTCATAGTTTTACATGGTCAAAACCGTCAACTAAGTGTCATCCTTGGGAGAAAATGAGCATAACATGATCATATTTATACAGTTAATTTGTTTTAACATGTACACGGACTATTTGAGTATGCAGGCACAACATAGGAAAAAGGAGGGTAAACCCTAAGACCCCTTTGGCCCTCAATCCAGGTGACAATCTTCCAAACATGCTTAGAAATGTTTGCAACCATTGGATGGAAGTTATGCTTTCTCTAGATTGGGGAGATGACACAGATTGATGAACCCATCAACAAGAAGAATTCAACGTGACAACATCAAAACTCCACTCATACCTCACCATGACAAGTGGGCCTAGATCCTAGACGAAGGAGGGAGGCCCAGGGCCAGTGGACCCCCCCCCCCCTATGGTCGGCCGACCACCCTGGTGCACCCACCCTGCATGCCTCCATGCAAAGAAACACACATCCACTCTAACTACAACTAAAACACAATGTTATCAACACAAACCTTAAATAATAACAATTTTGCATTTTTAGCATGCTCAACAACTATCACTTGTATTGAGATATTTTTGAAGTGGACCAATTGCAAATGTAGCCAGACATCAGTGTGATTATTTCATAGGAAGCAAAACTGCAAGTACGTAGTGCAAAAGAAAAGGAAATAAAAACACAAAAATGGATGAACCATGAGCTCATCCATACATCGCTCTTTTGACACAAGACTATACATGATATTTTATTTTATTTATAGGAACATGAAAGTCCATAAATGATGAGATAGACATTCCAAATGCCAGTACATGCACACTACCATACATGGCAATAGCTGGATGCAAAGACCTTATACTAATAAGGCACTTCATGCAACGTACAGAACAGTCCATGCACCATGTTTTATACCATATAGACATTATTTGCATCACGAAACCACCATGCAACATTCAAATGTATCATCAGCACTTATTGTTGTTGGACATAGAGAAACTTATGTAGTAGTGCTTCTTAGTTTTGGCCACCGTGGTGCCCTCCACCACCATATCCGCCTCCATAGCCCCCACCTCCCCCCTACCATAACCACCACCGTCATATCCTCCACCATAACCACCACCGTATCCGTATCCAGGGCCACCGTGTCCATATCCGTAACCTCCACCATATCTGGGTCCATAACCCCCACCATATCCAGGCCCATACCCTCCACCATAGCCATGGTGGTATCCTCCACCATATCCACCACCACAGCCACCACCATAGCCAGGTTGTCCATATCCACAGCCATACCCACCACCATATCCATATCCTCCATTGTATCCACCTCTCCACTTCTCATCCTTTAGTCTAGGTGCACCTCCTTGTTTCACGTTCTTCCCCTCAGCTTTTGCATGCAAGAAGAAGCTATTGTCACTATATAATCATTTAACAAGCTAGTGTGGCTCATACTTCAAATTTCCTTTCACAAATATTCCAAACATAAGTTAGCTGTCGATAGAATATCGTCGGCAGTCCTCCAAGGGGTATCCCACGAAGGTAGATTTATCGGCAGTGGTGCGCGTAATCAAGAACGAGAAGGCAACAGAGACACAAGAGTTAGACAGGTTCGGGCCGTTAGCACGACATAATACCCTACTCCTATGGCCTGTTGGTTTGTATTGGCTATCGTATGATATTGCGTGTCATCAGATACCTTAGGCTAAGCCTAGGATCCGTGTAGGATATCGACTAGGGGACCCCTGCCCCTCCTTATATGCTCTAGAGGGGTAGGGTTACAAGGAAAGTATCATATTTGGTATTATACAATATCTTATTGTAGCCTTGCGGTGCACGCCGAGTAGTGCCGTGCGTCGTAAGCCTTGGTCTTGTAGGCTGGGCCACCTCTGATGGTGCGGCCCATGTCTTGTCTTATGGATACTGGGGGTCATACCCCCACAACTAGTCCCCGAGCGCCATGCATCCGCTGAGCAACACCGTCTTGAGCTTGTCCGAGCTATCCAACTTGTTGCTGATCATCAGGAATAGGTGTCCGACCAGTTTAACTAGGAGCCGAGCTGTTGAAGCGGGTATCCGAGCAGTTGAACAGGCGTCCGAGCAGTTGAAGAGGCGTCCGAGCAGTTGAACTGTCATCCAAGCTGTTGTCCGAGCAGTAGGAACGACGTCCGAGCAGTTGAACAGGCGTCTAAGCAGTTGAACAGGCGTCCGAGTAGTTGAACTGTCATCCGAGCTGTTGTCCGAGCAGTGGGAACAGCATCCGAGCAGTTCAACTGTGAGCAAACCCAGACTTACTCGAAGTTGAGGTTTGCTAGAAGGATGTAAGGGGCTCAAGATAAAAATTTGAAAATTCTCCACCTTAGGCGAAGTGTAGCCACTTAGACTCCGTTTGCGATGAATCATCCATAATTTAGTCAATAAGGAGGGTAAATCAACAAAAGAGCACTACATTCACCGCTAGGTGAAGTGTAGCCATTTAGTCCTCGAGCTTGCTGAAAGATGAAGAATGAATCTCGTAGCAGGGTCAAAGAAAAATAAGTCTAAAAGCTTGCCGACGTCATCTGACTTGTGCGTGTCAAGACCCCAGACGTGCTGCCCAAGATCAGCATTCTGATCCGAACAGCATGGAGCAGCTTGATAGCACACCGATGAGACATAGCAAGACCCGGCCGCCAAGGAAGTCCCTAGCCTTAGCTGGCAACTCTTGCACGAAGAATCCGAACGCCGAGGAGTCCCCAGCTTAGTTGGTAAGCCCCTAGCATAGCTGACGATGAAGCGCGAGCGACGAACAGTCCGGCCAACTGGTCGGCGGCAAAGTAAGCATTGAGTAGAAGTAATCGGCGAACAGTCCGATCAACTGCTCGGCGACAAAGTCCATAAACCTAGCGGTCCGACTAGTTAATTGGCGGAGAAGTCCGAGCACCAGGTGGTTCGACCACCAAGGGAGTCCCCAGCTTAGCTGGAGACGCTTGCACAAAGAATTTGAACACCGAGGAGTCCCAGTGTAGCTGGCGAGCCTCCAGCGTAGCTGACGATGAAGCCCATGCGATGAGCAGTCCAACCAACTAGTCGACGACGAAGTGAACGCCGAGCAGGAGTGAGTGCCGAGCAGTCCGACCAGTTGGTTGGCGGTGAAGTCCGTCCGATAGGTGGTCCGACCACCCAGACGATGATCATCCTGTCCAGTCCCTGAGCGTAAGCTCATTGACCGAGCCATGCCCCTACGAAACAAATGTGTAGAATGGGTAGTACATGATGTAAAAATAGAATATATGAACTCCGGAGAAGAATCAACAATGGTGATGAAATAGCGTATGTAGCTCGGCGATCAGTTGGTGTGAACACTTAGTGCTATTTTGAAGATGTGTTTATATTTAACACAAACCGTTTGACCAATTAGTGTGTAGCTGAGTCTCCAGCCCTATCTAGCCCGTTAACCATGACGCGGAGCGTGGAGCCCGTGCGCGTGTAGGAAGAACAAAGCGTTGCTAAGGAGCCGCTGCTGACCACCCATAACGCAGAGGGCAGACGCTCGTGCACGTGTAGGGAGAAGCCGGAGACAGGGCCGTCTCTGGGAACATCCTAGCATCAACATGACTGTTTGGGGATTTGCCTTAGGCTTAGCTATATGTCATCTTTAAGATGGTATACATGAAAGAAAATCGTTTGGAGAGGAAACATGGATTAAACAGCTCGGAGAAACATCATTGCGATATATGAAGATTGGAGAATATTTAGAAGAATATTAAAGCGTGACTTAGCTTTAGACAAAACGTCTGGTCCGCGGCGTATGGCGTTATCTGGTCGGCGAGCACCCAGCGGGCGATGAGTTTTTGATCTCTTCTGCTCTCGACGGCGGTGAGGCCCCCGAAGATAGTGACGACCACTTTGTCGTGATCTTGGAAGGCATTATTGTTGTCCTCAGGTGGTCGGCGAGCTTCTGGCCGACCTGATCGATGGATGCGATCAGATCGTTGTTGTCGACCAGCTTCCTCGAGTAGCGGGGCAGCTGGCAGTGAGTTGTTGGTGAAGACGACCTCGGAGGCGGTTCCGAGATCGGATCTACCGTTGCAGGCGTTGGTGTGGTTGGCGTAGAATCGATTTGCACCGGATTGATGATCTCTCCGTCTCCGTCAGCATTGATGACCCAGGAGATCAATCCGACCGTAAAAATCTGGTCGGGCTTCGGAGAGGATGAAGAGCCTGAAAAGTGTACCATCTTATTCGTCATGGAAACAGCACGCACACCCCCACCTGGCGCGCCAACCGTCGACAGAATATCGTCGGCAGTCCTCCGAGGGGTATCCCACGAAGATAGATTTATCGACAGTGGTGCGCGTAATCAAGAACAAGAAGGCAACAGAGACACAAGAGTTAGACAGGTTCGGGCCGTCAGCACGACGTAATACCCTACTCCTGTGGTCTGTTGGTTTGTATTGGTTATCGTATGATATTGCGTGTTATCAGATGTCTTAGGCTAAGCCTAGGATCCATGTGGGATATCGACTAGGGGACCCCTGTTCCTCCTTATATGCTCTGAGGGGTAGGGTTACAAAGAAAGTATCATATTTGGTATTATACAATATCTTATTGTTGCATTGCGGTGCACGCCGAGCAGTCCCGTGCGCCGCAAGTCTTGATCTTGTGGACTGGGTCATCTCTGATGGTGCGGCCTATGTCTTTGTCTT